ATGTGGAGCCCACGTTTTATCTTGGCCTCCTAGGTAGACCTTTTGCGAAGTTGGAAATGGACAAATATGCAACAAAACATATTGGGATGGTTGATGCAGGCCTTTCTTCTAATCTTAGATAACGCCATTCACCTTAGTAGTAACAAAATTCGCAAGCTGTGAGTCACAGCTCTCATAAATAAAGAACTTTGTGCTTATCTTCCCTCATTTTTCTTTGTGAAACCATATAATAAAGAATAGAATTATGATGATCTATAGAGCACTTGTTTTTGATATCAAACACATGCATGTGAAAAAATTTAATCTAAATTTCAAATGTTATTCAATCTGCAATCCAAGACTTCGATTTTTCAATAAATCTCTAACTTTATTTTTAATAGTTTAATTGATAACGACGAGTTTGAATTGTTTTCTTCCAGCATTATTTCCTATCACAATATTTATGGGCTTGCCAAAATCCACAAACCCTTTGTTGCGCCCCATTATTTCTTATTACCTATCCTCTTCCGCACCCCTCTCTAGATTCTTAACGCCCTTTTTCAGCGAGCTAATTAATAAAAAAGCCAACTGTTTCTTTATTCCAGCTATCCCAACTTTTCTAGATGGTATAACCACCTTCCTCTCCCTGTCCACAATCATGTTATGTGCTCGCTTGATGTTGTTTCTTTATACCTGTGCCTGCCTCATTCCCTCATTATAGATAGAGTCTCAGAATTTCTAACAGATAGGCACATAGACCTCAATACTAATGAAAAAATAGTACAACTAACAAGAATGTGCCTAGCAATAAATATATTTTCTTTTGGTAAAAAAACTTTTCCAACATGTCCAAGGCTCTCGATGGGAAGCCTTTTATGAACATAGTATCAGAAATAAGCATGTCTCATATAGACAGATGGATCAGCCCTCAACACTCAATCAGACATTTTTATTTGGCGGAGATACAGAGAAGACATTTTCTGCCTGCACACTATGAAAACCTTATTTTAAAAACCTTTATAGTTTTCACCCAGAAATATCCTTCACATTAGACAAAGATCATAATGGCGTCCTTCCATTCCTGGATATATTAGTTATAAAAAAACCTTTCCTGTGATACCACACAACAGTATTCTTTAAAAGGAACTCCACACCCTATATACCCATTACACTTCCTTTTGTCCTTTTATGGATGCGAAAGATTCATTTTCTTTCTTCCTTTTTCAAGTGCAAATGGCGGACATAAGCAACAGGATAGTCATTTACCTTATTATTTCTCTATTTTTTTATTTTTTATTTCTTTTTTCCCTCTAGAATTATTCATCCCTTTGCTGCCACCATATTATAAAAAAATAAGGATTATTTCAATCAGTTTTAAATTATAGTTATTGTTTCCATAGTTACATTTTATAAATTTCTCAGCGTAGCCGAAAAAGCTCAAAAATAAAAGTAAAGAAAATGAATTTCTATGAAAAGAAAAGTCTCCATTGTTAACAGTTTACATCAATATATTCTATAAGGAAGAGAAGACACACACAGTTTTTGTAAAAATTACTGTTTTAATTATATTTTCATGGAAATTTTGAGCCGAAATATTCCTAAAATAAATATACCTCAAAGAAAAAAACAAACACAAAATATCTGCATCGCTTATTAATGCTTCTGCAAACACGATTCAGTCCAAAATTTGCCTAAAAATAAAAATAAAGTTAATGGCCATATATGGGTTTGGTTTGGGTGACTCAGAGACATTTGGCCCAATCTGAAACTAAGATGAAGTAATTAAATCTTGTTTAAAAAAAAAACAATGAACCTATCATAGCCTTTGTTTACATCGCGCGTCACCGTGACATCATCTTAGTTTCAGATTGGGCCAATTGTCTCTGAGTCTCTCTATAGTTTTGCTGTTCATATTCTTTGTCTATTCAGGATGGTACAAAGAAACACACGTGAAAGGATGTATAAAAAGTTAGCGCTCTATTATACGCTTTATAAGTCCAGCCTGGACTATAGAGCCTTATAGGCCGCTTCGGGATTCTTTCACTGTCTTGCAGGATCATCCACATGCCCTGGCAACTCCCTAAGTATTCTCCTTGCGCAGATGTGACCAGATTCTTCTTCTCCCACGACCGCGGCAGTTGGACTGCCCCCACTCCCTGGAATCTGTCAATAGTCACTTCCTTGTGGGGGGCCCTGCATACTTTCTTTACTGGCTTGCCGCATCTCTTAACTCTCTTCTTTAACCCTTCACTGCCATTCTTCTATAATGTTGTTTGCTGCACTGTTTCAATGTTATCTCTCTGAAGACCATAGAAGAAGTTTAATATAATGGTACTTTCAGTCTAAGATGGCTTCGATTTTATAAGATACTCTAGAAATTCGCAAAAGGTTAAGAATTGGGAAAATATATGCTATGTTGGCAAAGTGGCAGGACTGATATTAAGGATAAAATATAGAAATTATGCTGGTTGGAAATCTTAATCTTAAAAAAAGACACCTATCCTGTCAAATATATTTCAATTTAATAGTCGTTTTTGCATTTGTTTTTATATTGAGCTGCCAAGGTCTTCAAGCAGGCATTGAAATTTATCAAGCTTGTGTTGTAGTATTTTAAATAACCAGAATCTGTACATATAGTAGAGATAATTTAATCAGATAGTCAACGATAATCAATGTCTAGTTGGAAAGGGGGGGCTTATATTTTGAAGGATTTTTGACACCGATATACATAGTTATGTGGACTAAACTAACTAAGCTAACAAAATTTACTAGAAATTTTTCTCTTGTGTTTAAAAATAATAAAATAAAATATATTGAAAGTGTTCACATACTGATATGAAATCAAATATAAATTTGTTTTAGATTAATTAAGCTATATAAAATTAAATTATATTATGGTTTATTAATTTGCTTAATTATATTATACATTTCTGTTTTCTCACTAAAAGTTAAATAGTAATATAATTATTTTACATAGTTAAAAATGCACACAAATATAATATAAATTTAACTGAAACCTTTCATTTATCATATAAAAGTTTGAGAGTGTAAAGATTTGTTGAGTTTCAGAGGCAATGTGCGTGCTTTAAAAAAAATAAAATAAATATTAAAAATCTTAAACAAAATAAAACGAGACTGAAGAGGAGTTTCTTATATTTAATATTCGCTTTCGGACCGTGACGTCCTTCAACTGGCTATAGAATGAAAGCATGAACGACTATATATAGAGCTAAGAAATACAAATTTACATATTGAAAATTAATAGTATACATCTAAATTAACATACAGCAGAGATTAACCAAGATTACATATTTACATGTGAATTAAAATACAACGGCGTAAACTATTGTGATTGTGAGGGATAAGAAAGGAAGAAAGTAACTATGAATATGATGTTTAAGGCATGATGACAGGTGGATGTGGATAAGTTACTATTTCAACAGAATATGGTATGAGTCAGGTATATCGATGTGTCTGTTGATACTATTGCATTGTAATGATATCATGGCCTCCAGGATCAATATTTGATTTTGCTATTGATGTTCTTATAATGGATGGTTGGATTGGATAAATCAAACGAGTGACCTGTATTTAAGATATGGGTATATATTTGGGATGTTATTTTCTTATTGGTTATGTTCCTGCTGTGTTCATTCATTCTGATGGCCGCAGATCTACCCGTTTCCCCCATGGGGCGGAGCATTAGCCACATCCACCCGTCATCATGCCTTAAACATCATATTCATAGTTACTTTCTTCCTTTCTTATCCCTCACAATCACAATAGTTTACGCCGTTGTATTTTAATTCACATGTAAATATGTAATCTTGGTTAATCTCTGCTGTATGTTAATTTAGATGTATACTATTAATTTTCAATATGTAAATTTGTATTTCTTAGCTCTATATATAGTCGTTCATGCTTTCATTCTATAGCCAGTTGAAGGACGTCACGGTCCGAAAGCTCGCGAATATTAAATATAAGAAACTCCTCTTCAGTCTCGTTTTATTTTGTTTAAGTATCTAAATTGAAGAGTTGATTTTGTCGATTAAAAATCTTATTATTGTTATATTTAAAATTTGGTTCTCAAAATTTAAAATTAAATACTATAGGTAAAGCCTATATTTATAAAGTTATTGTCAAAAATTTTCAAAATCCCTTTAATTTTAAAAGCTTTCTAAAGTTAAAATGAAATTTGTTGTTTTTAGTCCTTAAAAATATTGTCATCAAATTTTCAAATATTTTCAATTTTAAAATAATGATATTTCAATTTAAAATAATTTTTTTTTGAAGTTTCAACCCCTTTTTAAAATATAGTATAATATTTATTATTATTCTCAGAGAAGCGATAAAAATAGGTGTCGTGTAAACAAAATTGTTTGCGCAAATTTTTATGCGCACACTCAAGGTTAGCTACTATCGCGCAATCGCGCTAATCCAATGTTATTGTTTAAATTACACATTGTCACGCCTTTTCTGGTAAGTACCTTTTTTGCTAATTTCTTTAAAATGTGACTATAGGAAATAGAACGTTATTATTCCAAATACTCTGGTACTTAAATAATACAGTTATTTAACATTTATCATTTTATTTCTATTTTATTTTTAATATAGGTACATTTTATTAAATAGATTTTTCCTCACAACAAACTAAAAACAAAGCCCCATAATAAAATCCTATAAAATATTGGATATAGGTGTACAATAGTCTCTCGATAACAGTATAACCTTAAAAACACGATTTTTAAAGATATAATTCCAAATTTTTTTAAATATTTCAAATGGGTTTTTAAAATTCATTGTTAAAAATAAATAAATACTTATGCTTTGAACCAATTTGGAATTAAAAATCGTTTTATTTAAGTTTCGTTTCATAAAATGAAATAAAGTTTATTTGAAACCTTCAAATATTACATTTTGATTACGTTATTTAAATTTGGTAAATAACTTGAAATATCATTCTAAACATTTAAATGCCATTAATACAAGGCTTGTGATGAAAACCAATCTATAATTTCAATACTTTCCTTTATTAACGTATGCCATTTTTAGGTTACTTTTAATAGGGAAATATAAAAATAAAAAAATATATAAATTATTTATATTAAAAAAAAATCTTATTTACCTTTTTAACAATTATTTTAAGTTTTCAATTTAGATAGTTTTAGTGATAAAAACATTAAAAGCAGACGAAAAAATATACAATTTGATAAACTTATGGAAAATAGCTCAAAAGTGAAATTGTACTGAGACCAGATTGTTAAATTAAGAGAATTTTTTTTAATTGATCAGTATAATTTTATTTGTTTCTGCATTTTTAATTATTTTTTTCAAACATAAGAATTTTGAAAAAATTTAAAAGAATAATACAGTTTTTTTTTTTTCTATTTAATATATTCAAACACACATACACTGAATATATATAAAATATTTGGGTTCTGGTATGTTGTATGATATATAAATACTTGACCCATGTTTCTACCTAGTTTCTACTACACTTTGATCTTAGCCCAAAGGCCGAGAAGTGACTTATATTTTTTTCCTATTTAATTTGAGTTACTAAGTGTGTGAAACCATTTTCTATAAAAGAAACACTCTAAGAGATTATGATAAGGCTCAATTTGTATTATAGATTATAAACACAAGGTAATAAGACCAAATTCTAATAAATAAATAGTGTGATGTTTCGGTAACAGTTCTCTTGTTTATACACTCGATAACAGTAACTATTTAAAACATGCTGTGGTATAATTTCTCATTCAGTACTTTTGTCTGAAGATGGTAACAACGCTGTAACCGAAACGTCAAACACTATTTATTTATTTGGTCTTATTGCCTTGTGTTTCTCAGAGATTATATAAAAGGGCGTACCTGGATATCTGTAAAAAAAAAAAAAAAAAATTTCTCTCAAAATATTTCGAGAGATTGCTCCCTCTTTATCAATTTATTTCACAGTAAACAAGATATTATATTTACATACAGATCCAGGTATGCCCTTTTATACAATCTTAATTTATGGATCGTCTTTTGACTCAAACTCTAAGAGATGCTACCCACATAACACCTTCATAGGTTCCAAACAGCCACCATCCTCCTAAGAATATTTACCCCTGTACAGAACCAAGTACAGTACATCTGATAAACTGGATGTCTACCATTAGACGTGAAGTCTAAACCCGGATTTTTTATTTATTTTTAAAATTTTATTTCAATTTAAAGCGCTATGTCCTCCTAAGGACACTTGCGCTGTCATTCATGTATGTCTTTACATTTGTCTATACATATATATATACAATAATTTTAGGCTGTGAATAGAATAGTCATATGATGTTAACAATGGGAAATAAAGAAGTGTCTGGCAATATGTACAATCAGCATAATATAAATTATCAGTTTCTTAAAAGATATTTGTTGCTATATAATTTAAAATATATCTACAAAAGGTATTGAATTTAATATACATTTCTTTACTGGAAATAAAAATACTTGGATCTGTTACTATTAAATTATTGTCGATTCTATAGTCTTGAAAAATAGGACAATCTAGTAAAACATGTATTGAGGTTTGTTCCTCATGTTCATGGAAACAACTCTAGTCTTCCACCGCTTTAATTCTTTTTAAAAAGCTTCTGAAATTTCCATGATTAGAAATGAATTGAGAATTATGAAAGTGTGGTTGGAAATATTGTGGTGACTTTGGTACGTGGCTCCAGTAATCCTGGTTGTCACCTCAAGAGAGAAAAGAGCTACTTAAGAATTTTTTTTCATTTTCCATTGTTATAAACAGGTCTATTGATGATCTTTTGTAGAAGAGTATTGATTTTGATGCTTTTATAATTCTAAATCGAATGCTTCCACAGTTCCAGAAATCACATACACGGGTCCATAATTTCTCTAAATATCAATGAAATCCTTATAAAGCACAATTTGGATTATAATAAAAGAAAATAAGACCTAATCCAAATAATTTATTAGTGTGTGAAAAATTGTGAGAAGTGGGATTCGAACCCACGCCTACAACAGTAGACCTGAACGCAGCGTCTTAGACCGCTCAGCCATCCTGACATAAGATACTGATTTAAGAACTTGCTGTGATATTTTTTCTCATTTGTTCTTTTGTCTGATGATGGTGACAATGTTGTTGCCGTCACACACTAATAAATTATTTGGATTAGGTCTTATTTTCTTTTATCAATGAAATCCTTTAAATTACTTCTCCCTATAAGCAGAATGGTTCACTACACTAGCAGAGTTGTTTGGTGGACAGAATTGAAGAAATAACTGTAAGAGTTGATAAAACACAATTTGGATTATAAACACAAGGTAATAAGAAAAGAAAAGTTGCTGAAAGTTGCTGATGGCTTGCACCATCTATTGGAATAAATGTCAACTATTCGTTGATTTTAATTATTCCAGAATTGACCAAATACCCATTCTTGATTAATCAAGAAAAGCTAACCACATACACATTTCGGGCTGTTGGCCCTCATCAGTGTGGTGCAAGCTGTACCTTAACGGCCAAAAAACTGGTCATTCAGCATCTTGAAAAATCATGAAATGGGTAGTTAAGGCCAGAATTGCTCGAGAACCCGAAACAATGTGAAAAAATAGTACAAATGTGATATTGTACTGAGATAAGGTGCATAAATTAAGAAAAGAAAAAGGCATCTCTTTATCGTGCTGATGATGGTAACAAAACTGTTACTGAATCCTCACACAATATTTATTTATTTTGTCTTATTACCTTGTGTTTATAAATGTGAGAGTTCATCAATAGAGCTATGGATATATCTTGTTTCCTTGTGCCTGCCTCATGGAAAAATTCAGTAACACCTCTCATGGACAACCCGTAGTATGATAGAGTCACTTTCATAAAATCAACTACCATCATGAGAGGCTGGGTAAAGTAGAATGTATCTGCCTTTGTCATTAAGACTGGGAGCACTACTCAGTGGCAGGTCGACTTAACTCCAAATAAAATGGCTGCCTCTGACATGAGGAACAGAAACCATATGCAGCCACTCCTAACATGGATTACAAAACACGGTTCATCCTGTATCCCTGGATTGGCTCAGCCAGCTGAGCTCAGGTTTTTTTTATAAAACTTGTTACTTCTTCCCCTCATCCTTAATCTAGGCTTGGGACTGACAAAGCAGACACCATCAAAAATCTCTACAGGCTTGATATATGATTGAGGGGAGATAAGAAAGAAGAAGATAAACTGACTTGACCTGTTCTATATATCCAATGAGAGACCACCTCTATGATGGTGTCAGGACAGTGATGTCTCTCATGGAAGACTTTCAATTTTGTAGAGACCTTCTGATTACAGTCAAACCTCACTACATCACTTGTGGAACCAAGTTTTTATGTTGTTATAACCACAGTTGAAACAACATAAAAACTTGAGAATTATATGACCCAAGTTGCTCTTATAAAAGAGGTTGCTATAAAAAGGTCCCACAGTATGTATCTTCATTTTAAGTGGATCATAGCCTGCATTTGTTGGTGCACAATTTCATTATATCAATTTTATTATTTTTTATAATAGAAAATGCACAAAAGGCAATGAGGTCTTAGATGAGGTAGTTAAGACTGATTATATAGCTGAACCTGGCTTTTACTCTATTTATCAGATTATCAACTATTTTTTAGTTTGTTTCTCTATCTCAGAATATTGGTCACCAAACCCAGAGAAATCCAGTATGGTGATGGCTGCACTATCAATGACTAAACAAGGTGTTCCTAGAGGCTTTCCTGAAAATTTAAGAAATAGATATTTATGGCCATACCTTTTGTGGAATTAAAATTTCAACACCAAATTGATATGTTTACATTCCCATAGGTACCTACAGCACTGTACAGTTGCACTATAATATGTCTTGAACATTATATAAGTTGTTAGGATTCATCACCCTAAATGTCACACTCTAATGTAATTAGATACATTCTTTTTTTATTATCTCTAGTACACATAGTGGGTAATAGTTGGGGCAATAGATTTAACTCTTAAGTGTATCACATATCTACACATGTGAAAAGCAGTTAGACTTTTGCACTTACAAGTGCAATTGTCAATTGTTGTGTGGGCAACTTCAGAGATCCAATAAGACCAAAGAAACCCATTGTGTAATACCATGGGACATTTTAAAATTTATTTGACGAAAGGACATCAATTGTTGCCTTGGTAATTTCAGAGATCCATTGACAAAAGGACCTAAAATTGTTGCCATGGTAATTTTGGAGATACATTGAATAAAGGACCTCAATTTTTGCCTTGGTAATTTCAGAGATCCATTGAAAAAAATACCTCCAATTGTTGCCTTGGTAATTTCAGAGATCCATTGACAAATGACCTAAAATTGTGCCTTGGTAATTTCAGAGATCCATTGACAAAAGGACCTCAATTGTTGCCATGGTAATTTTGGAGATCCATTGACAAAAGGACCTCAAATTATTGCCTTGGTAATTTCAGAGATCCATTGAAAAAAATACCTCCAATTGTTGCCTTGGTAATTTCAGAGATCCATTGACAAATGACCTAAAATTGTTGCCTTGGTAATTTCAGAGATCCATTGACAAATGACCTAAAATTGTTGCCTTGGTAATTTCAGAGATCCATTGACAAAAATACCTCAAATTGTTGCCTTGGTAATTTCAGAGATCCATTGACAAAAGGGCCTCAAATTATTGCCTTGGTAATGAGATCCATTGATGACATGACCTCAATTGTTGCCTTGGGAATTTTAGAGATCCATTGACAAAAGGACTTCAATTGTTGCCATGGGAATTTGAGAGAATCATTTACAAAAAAGGTTTCCCAGAAGAGAGAGAACTATCTAGGATATATCTGTAGGTTTCCCAGAAGAGAGAGAACTATCTAGAATATAAGTGTAGGTTTCCCAGAAGAAAGAGAACTATCTAGGATATATCTATAGGTTTCCCAGAAGAGAGAGAACTATCTAGAATATAAGTGTAGGTTTCCCACAGAAGATAGAGAACTATCTAGAATATAAGTGTACGTTTCCCAGAAGAGAGAGAACTATCTAGAATATAAGTGTAGGTTCCCCACAGAAGAGAGAGAACTATCTAGGATATATCTGTAGGTTTCCCAGAAGAGAGAAAACTATCTAGAATATAAGTGTAGGTTTCCCAGAAGATAGAGAACTATCTAGAATATAAGTGTAGGTTTCCCAGAACAGAGAGAACTATCTAGAATATAAGTGTAGGTTTCCCAGAAGAGAGAGAACTATCTAGGATATAAGTGTAGGTTTCCCAGAAGATAGAGAACTATCTAGAATATAAGTGTAGGTTTCCCAGAACAGAGAGAACTATCTAGGATATAAGTGTAGGTTTCCCAGAAGAGAGAGAACTATCTAGGATATATCTGTAGGTTTCCCAGAAAAGAGAGAACTATCTAGGATATATCTGTAGGTTTCCCAGAAGAGAGAGAACTATCTAGAATATAAGTGTAGGTTTCCCAGAAGAGAGAGAACTATCTAGGATAGGTTTCCCAGAAGAGAGAGAACTATCTAGAATATAAGTGTAGGTTTCCCAGAAGAGAGAGAACTATCTAGGATAGGTTTCCCAGAAGAGAGAGAACTATCTAGAATAGGTTTCCCAGAAGAGAGAGAACTATCTAGGATATAAGTGTAGGTTTCCCAGAAGATAGAGAACTATCTAGAATATAAGTGTAGGTTTCCCAGAAGAGAGAGAACTATCTAGAATATAAGTGTAGGTTTCCCAGAAGAGAGAGAACTATCTAGAATATAAGTGTAGGTTTCCCAGAAGAGAGAGAACTATCTAGAATATAAGTGTAGGTTTCCCAGAAGAGAGAGAACTATCTAGGATAGGTTTCCCAGAAGAGAGAGAACTATCTAGAATATATCTGTAGGTTTCCCAGAAGAGAGAGAACTATCTAGAATATAAGTGTAGGTTTCCCAGAAGAGAGAGAACTATCTAGGATAGGTTTCCCAGAAGAGAGAGAACTATCTAGAATAGGTTTCCCAGAAGAGAGAGAACTATCTAGGATATAAGTGTAGGTTTCCCAGAAGATAGAGAACTATCTAGAATATAAGTGTAGGTTTCCCAGAAGAGAGAGAACTATCTAGAATATAAGTGTAGGTTTCCCAGAAGAGAGAGAACTATCTAGGATAGGTTTCCCAGAAGAGAGAGAACTATCTAGAATATAAGTGTAGGTTTCCCAGAAGAGAGAGAACTATCTAGAATATAAGTGTAGGTTTCCCAGAAGAGAGAGAACTATCTAGAATATAAGTGTAGGTTTCCCAGAAGAGAGAGAACTATCTAGAATATAAGTGTAGGTTTCCCAGAAGAGAGAGAACTATCTAGGATAGGTTTCCCAGAAGAGAGAGAACTATCTAGGATATAAATGTAGGTTTCCCAGAAGAGAGAGAACTATCTAGAATATAAGTGTAGGTTTCCCAGAAGAGAGAGAACTATCTAGGATAGGTTTCCCAGAAGAGAGAGAACTATCTAGGATATAAGTGTAGGTTTCCCAGAAGAGAGAGAACTATCTAGGATATAAGTGTAGGTTTCCCAGAAGAGAGAGAACTATCTAGAATATAAGTGTAGGTTTCCCACAGAAGAGAGAGAACTATCTAGGATATAAGTGTAGGTTTCCCAGAAGAGAGAGAACTATCTAGAATATAAGTGTAGGTTTCCCAGAAGAGAGAGAATTATCTAGGATATAAGTGTAGGTTTCCCAGAAGAGAGAGAACTATCTAGGATAGGTTTCCCAGAAGAGAGAGAACTATCTAGGATAGGTTTCCCAGAAGAGAGAGAACTATCTAGAATATAAGTGTAGGTTTCCCAGAAGAGAGAGAACTATCTAGAATATAAGTGTAGGTTTCCCAGAAGAGAGAGAACTATCTAGAATATATCTGTAGGTTTCCCAGAAGAGAGAGAACTATCTAGGATAGGTTTCCCAGAAGAGAGAGAACTATCTAGAATATAAGTGTAGGTTTCCCAGAAGAGAGAGAACTATCTAGGATAGGTTTCCAGAAGAGAGAGAACTATCTAGAATAGGTTTCCCAGAAGAGAGAGAA